CTTCCAAGTAATCAAAGGGATTTATTTTAGGGAAAGGCTTGTGACCACATATTCTAAACAGCTTAGACGGACTCAATCAAAACGGTTTGGCAAAGGAGATGTCCAGGCAGCCCGTCAGAGGCAGGCGGCGTTTAAGGCACAGGCAAAGAGTGCTACAGTGCCGTGGGTGGCTTATATCGGCTTATATCTGACATGAGAACATTCACAGCTCGCTGCCTGGGGAGCGAGGGAACAGCTCACTGTGGTTGTGCACCACCGTGGAGCTTCTGGTTTGCTTCAGGAATACCCAGTCCCTGGGGAACCAGGAGCCACAGACTACACTGGTCAAGTTGGTTGGTGTTAAATATCGATAGGGAAACTCGAGAGCAGGTCCCGAGGGAGGGATGGTGGTCAGTGCTCCTGCTGCTCCTCCCTCGTGTCTGTGGACAGCGAGCCACGCACGCTGTGCCCAGCTGGGAAAATCAGGGCACACACGGTTGTGCCCCAAGCTCTGTTTCTTCACTGAAGCACCCTCATGGCTCACAGTAGACCACTGTGCCCGTCTCACTAGTGGGGACAGGACTAGGTCACCAGCAGGGACAACACACAATCTCTGCTAGGTGTCCTGCTGTTCAGCCCCCTCCCAGCCCCTCTGGAGCCACCCTCACCTCCGTCAGCGTAGGTCTCCGTGCCGTAGCCATCCTGCAGGCCGTTGTTCCAGGTGCCCTCGTACTTGGCTCCACTGCTCATGCTCTGCCTCGCGCCGTACCGTCCCTTAAAGCCATGGGTCCACTCGCCTCTGTAAACCCACCGTCCTTTGGTCTCGATTCCCAGGCCGTGCCTCTTGCCTTGGGACCAGTAGCCTTCGTAGGTGTTGCCGCTGGGCCACGTGTATATGCCCACCACTTCGAAGCCGTAGTTCCAGGAGCCCGAGTACTCGCCCTGGCCCTTGGGGCCGGTGCAGATGCCATGCCCGTGGGCTTTGCCCCCCTCCCAGCCCCCGCAGTAGGCACCTCCATCATCGAAATCGAACCTGCCGCCACTCATGGTGCCCTCCGGTGCCCCTCAGCCGGGCAGCGTTCCCAGGGGCAGCGCTCCGGGGCTGCCGCATCCCCGGGGGGAGCGGGCTGGGCACCGGGAGCGGCCGCTCCTGCCTCGCCTGGCCCGGCCGAGGGGCTGGGGCACGGGAGGAAGGAGAAATTGGGAGAGAAGGAGGGGAGAAGGGCGGGCCGAGCTCCAGCCCCCCCCGTCGGGGCAGCCGCTCCGCGCCGGTACCTGCCCGGCGGGCACGGGCATGGGTCGCCCGGGGAGCCACCCCCGCGGCGGCGAAGGGAAGGGGGTCCCGAACCCCGCGAGGAAGGAAAGGGGGTCCCGAGCCCACGGCGGAGGAAGGGAAGGGGGTCCCGAGCCGGCCGCTCTCCCCGCCCGGCCGCTGCCGCCCGCCCCGTCCCGCTCCGCTCTCCTCCCCCGCCGGGAGAAAGGTCAGCGCTGCCCTAACAAGGCCATCGGATCCCAGGAGCTGCTCCCAAAAATAACCCCCCGGAGCCCGGCCCCCGCCTCGGGGCCCTTTTATGAAGGAGGGAGAGAGACACATCCCACCCCCCCGCCGTCCCCCGCCTCGGGCAGGGATCCAGGCGGAGAAGAGGCTGGGAAAGTAAATGTCTGCTTAAAATAGAGCCTGGGAAGGGGCCGCCTCGCTCCCCCCAGGAGCACCGGGAGCCCCGCGGGATGCGGGGATGGAGTACCGGGGAACAGGTCACTCACACGGGCGTGTAAAAGTGGGCAGAGGTGGAAGGAGGAGGAAGAGCACAGCCGTCACCCAGAGTGCACTGTACAGCTCACGCTGCCCCTCTGCTTCCTTCAGAGTGACTTTCCAAAGCTGCTTTAGGGTAATGAAAGGAATTCACAAGCAGTCATTCACCCTTCTCTCCCAAAAAACAACACACTTCCCAAAATCTTCTGTTTAACAGCTGGCAGCATAATTTAGTGTGGAAAAGAAAGGTGAGACCATGCCTTTGGAACAGTTGCAGAGAGACAGGGCAGTGACAGCCCACGTTGTAACAATTCACATCATCAAATGGTAGAGGACAAGGAATGAAAGACCAGGTAACAGGCTAATCCAAGCCCTCTTTCTTCCAGCACCCCTGTCCCATTCCTAAAGACACTCACAGCAAGACCATGGGGAGATGACCTTCCCCTTACTGAGCACCACGCTGGGAAGCTGCAGGAGCTGTGGGGTGCCATCAGCAGGCTGTGTCATTCCATGCCATGCCCTGCCCTTCCAGGGGAGCTTCCAAAACCCACACCAAGCTCTGGGGCAAGGCTGCCACAGGCAGTGGTGAGTTGGAGACTCACACAACACCATTTTACCACCTGGGCAACCTCACTGCCATTTCTAGGAGGAAGATGTAGAGAGAAACCACACAATATATATAACTGCAAGAAAAGCTAAGTGTGTATAGACAGCACATAAACACAGAACACCTGCAGGCACAGGTGAGAAGGACCAAGTGCCCCCACAAAGCTAATTACAAAAGGCTTCACTTCTATTCAGCCACAGGCAGGAAGGGGCACTTTGGTAAGGGACTCCCAACACTACTCAGAAGTGCTGCTTGGCAGAACCAGCCCTCAAAAGCTTTCTTAATTAAAAAAAGAAAAAGTCAGACTTTGAAATTGGCTCAAGTTTGATATTTTTTTTCCGTAAATCCAAGCTTTTAGACTACTCAGGCATGTTTTCAAAGTTCTTGCTGCATGATCAAGGGGTGGAAACTCCTATTTTCTCAAAGCAAAACCAGAGGTTTTAGTTCTGTGGTTTCTGGGAAGACCAAAACATCTTGAAACACCTTGTAGTAACAGAAGGGAAAGTGTTAAGGCAGCAGTTGCAGCTACCCATGGTGTTCCAGCACTTACGGGCCCAGAGATGTCGTAACTGTCCCAAGAGGATGCCAAGTTCAGGACCACGTAATTATTTACTTAGCAACTTTTTCTAATTGCATAGCACAGTTGTGAACGGATCGCACACTTCAGTGTTCAAACACTTCATTTAATGTTTGTTTAAACATCAATAGCTTATGCAGATGTTGGCATTTAAAGAGCTTTTTTTTGACCACCAACAAATCCAAACCTCAGAAAGCCCTAACAGTGTGTGTGCACAAGGGCACCACACAGAGCTGGTCTTGTTTCTTCATTTTGGCAGAAAAACTCACGTTCTCCCCTGAAGGCTGAGCCCGTGTCAGCAGCCAACCCACACGGCCAGGACTGACCTCTAGTGGCCCAGCACTGCTCCTCTCCCTCCACAGTCACCACCAGTTCACGTCTTTCTACTCTGTATTTTTGCATTACCTCCTGGATTTCAAACCCCTTTAACGCAGTACTGGGCAGTGGACAGTGCAATCCTAAACCCTGCAGGCCTGTGACTAACAAAGAAATGGTAAAAAGCAGCTCAGTCTTGAAAGGCATTCTCAGCCCCACAATGGTGCCGTGGTTGGAATTTGCATTTGGGAACAGTAAAGAGAATAATAGTTTGAGAAATAAGGTCACTTTGCAGTTTGCAGACAATAGTTACCAAAACAGTTACCAAATAACTGCCTTGAATCCAGGTGGCAGAAATGTAGCTATGGAAGAGCAGGGACACGGAAAGGAGATGTGGGACCCAGGTACATTCTGCAAGGGGTAGATGACACTTCAGAACTGGCAAAACAGGTAAATTTACAAGGCCACTTGTTCTAAGATACCAGGTACTGCCACAGAAACAACAAAAAAAACCACAAGAGCAACACCAAAGGATTTCACAGGGAAATGTTTGTGCCCGTTTCTTTTCCAGACCTCAGAGGTCAGAAAAGTTCAGGTACTGCAAACAGTGAAGACAAACCAAACATAACTCTTCTCTCCCTCAAGAAATTATATCATTTGATGGGATGCTCTTACAAAAGAGACACTGTGCTGATGCACACCATGGGTAGCGAGCTGCTTGCTTCCAAAGTAGTAAATTCCAGGAAGAATGCAAAGCTGGACAAGGCAGCTAAAGTGACAATGGTTTAGCAAAAAGACTGGAGTGGAGGAGAAAGAAAACACACTGTTCAAGACATCCCTACAACTGGCAACTGTTCACTCAAGTCTATAGGTCTTAAAACTTGAAGGAAAGGTTATACTTGGTGTTAGAGTAGGATGAAAAAGAAGCTAAAAAAAACCCTCAACCACCAGAGCGTGTGAATTAAGACCACTGAAGTGAGCAAATGCTGCTTTGGCCTTCATTAAAACTACACTGAACAGAGCCCACAGATTCATTTTTCCTTTGGTTAACTGCAGCAGCAATTCCCCTGAAGGACACAGGGTGTTTCTCCTGCTGCAGATAAGTCTCTAAAGCCTGCTGGACATCTAATAAAAGCTTTGTTTCCACTTTCCCAATATTTTCCACTGATCAATGCTACAGAGATCAGAAACCTCTTGAAACAATCTTGCTTTGATCACCCAAGTTTCTTTTCTCAACAGGTAGCCCAGCAAGGAAATGGTGTTAACCCAAGAGCATCTGACTACATTAACCTCATCCCAGACAGGGAAGGAGGATGCTGATCAGCCCATCAGAAATAAAGCCTCTTCAGGCACAAAGAAATACCACTGCCTCTACTCAAGAAGAGGTGACTGCATCTCCTGAATTTGCCCAGAGTGGTAACAGTACCAAGGGGAGATGGTCACAATCTTTTATGAAAAAAAAAATCAGAGGCACAAGCATCCAAAACCACAAGCCTAAGTGTTGAAACCTGAGGTCAAAGTGATTTCAAAGAAACTGAATTACACCGGGTGTCTGACAATAAGGGCTCTAATTACCATGCAAAATAGGGACTCTTTTCCTCCAGCAAAACAAAAAGAGGATTTTGAAAACAAAAATAGAATTTCCCAAGTGTTGGGTCTTAAGTACAGGCAGGTACGATCTAGGTACATTTTACCTTGTTATCTATTCCAAGTTTAAATTATAATGCTGAAACTAAACTGTTGGTCCAGCTTAAATAATGAACATCAGCTGAGATGCAAAGAAGTGTTTTTATTGCAAGTGAGCAGGGAGTGGGTTGGATCTTCACATGAGTGTGACAGCAGATTTAAACCAGCCACCCTTCTGGTGCTCATTGTGTCAGGTGTACATCATTTCTGCCATGTGAGACATTTTCTTTGGAATATACAAGTAATACTCCATGTATCCCGAAAGGTCTTCTATTGTCACATCATCCACAAAGGCCCTGGCTTGCTCAGAGCAAGAGCGTGGAGAACTTGAGGGAGTTCTTGATGGCAAAGGCTGTGAGTGATCCTCAGAAACTGTTCTGTCGGGTGCCAGGGGGAGGCTGTTCTGCAAGCCAGAGAATTTGTACACTTCCATGTCTTGCCACAGCTTGCACTGACAGGCTTTACCTGCACAGGCACACGGCTTACTCGTGTTCAGCTTGCACATGGACTGGAAGTCAGAAAGCTCTGTAGTCTTTAGGCTGGTTTTGGGCACCAGAGAAGCTGCAGCTGGAGAGTTCTCCTGCCTGTTCTCCGACGTCAACTGTGTAACAGAAACCCCCAAAGCCTCAACCTCAGCTCCCTTGTGGCCAAGGTCAGGAGCAGCGCTGCATTGTCCGTGTGCACCAGCTTCCCTGGAGACTGGCATCCCAAACCCACTGCTGTCGTCCTGGGCATCCAGCTGGCTCTTCTGCACCAGCTGGCTGCACGTGGAATGCGATTTTGTGCTGCAGTGGATGAACTTTGGAGGATGAAGAATGGGAGACTTGGAACGCCTGCGACGCTGGGTTCTCACGACTCCTCTCGGAGGCTTCTTCGTAGACCTGCCAGGGAAGGACACAAAAGGGAGTGAAGATTCACTACAAGACTTGTTGCTAGGTCACAAATAGCACTGGGCAAAATCCCTACTGCATTCACACTGCATGCAAGAGCCTTAAACTCAGAGTGTTCTGCTATCTTGACTTTGTGCTAGTCAAGCAGCTTATAAAATACAAAAGGAACACTAGAGAAATGAACTCAAAAGAGAGGGTTTTTAAAGTTAGAAAATGAGTAAAGCATGTGAGACATGACAAAATAACCCCTAAGAGAAGGACAAAGAACAAGAAGGCAGCACAAAAGCAATGAATCCAGGGCAAAGGGAGCTTTTGTTTTAGATGAGCATGAAGTTCTGCACAGACACTCCAGAAATCAATTCTTTATTTTAATCTTGTTCCCAAGGCACAATGACAGCTTCTGCAACGTCAAAAGACGACTGAAAGAGGTGCATTGATCATTGTCTGATTCAAAATCAGCAACTCACATTTGTATTGAGAAACATCTGTAACATTTAGCAACCTATAGCTGACCAGCATTTCACTTCACATAACTGTAAATAAGAACAGCGGTCATATATGAACAGAAAAAGGTGGGGTGCAGTATTTGAAACAGTTCTTTAATAAAGCACATTCAGGTTCCCTGTTTAGGGGGGGACTTACTAGAAACCTTGTCTATTTAAAATTCCCTTCCAATGCAGTATCATTTGAAGTAGCCTGATCATCCCAAGCTTCTCTTACCCATGCCAGGTTTCCTTTGAAGCACACACAGTCTTAGGTTTGGTTTCATCTGCCACTGTTCTAACTAGTGCTCTGGGACTCGTCCCTTCACCCACAGAGAGAGAAGTAGTAGATCTGTGAAAGACAGAATGAACAGTTAACAGCCCAGACTGGTTAGCAATATGATTATGAAAAAAAAACCCTTATGAATCTTCTTTCGCAGAAAACATTGCTCCAAATCATTTAGAATGTGTCTTAAAATCCTGCCCATAAAGACCCAAATTAGAAGGATAAGTGTTTACATATTCCTATCTCAAAGGTTTGTATGACACTCTTTCACCAAAGGATGCCATTCAGCAGCAGACCCAAACCCCACGTGTCAATGACAAACACACACAATGACTAAACTTCAGCTTCCCGAGAGAGGGGAGGGGAAAAACACCATCACTGAAGAAACACGTCTCTTTTTCCAGAGACAAATAAGCCTTTCTTTCCTAAAAATAAATGTTCTTTGGACATAAATAGACTTTGTTTAGCTGAAGAACACTTGAGCCTCTGTCTAGGGCAACATAAGCTAAAACTCCTCATACTACTGAGCAACACAGACGTGTCAGACCTTCAACTTCTACTCGAGCCAGGGATCTCAGAATATTTACTAAATTTTCTGGTGCTGTAAGTTCATCCCAGACTCTCATTTGGAACGACTTGTAATAAGAACAGTTTTTCCCAGTTGTGACTTCACACATTACACTGGAATTCACAAGAAAATTATTTTCTGAATCCTGTATTAAAGTAGTTTGTAAGCAGGGTGGATAACCTGAAAATGAAAATGAGTCCCCACACACTAATCTAGGAGGGGGTTAAGAGAATCCAAATCCAAATCCTTAAATTTCCATTTAAAGGATAATGAACACAGAGAAGAAAACTGAAGGACACCAGTAAAAATTCCAAAGTAACTAAGTATGCCCAGCTAGAGGGTGGGACTAGAGACACTGAAAAAAGGAGAGGCAATTCACTGCTAATGCGTTTAATTACTTAAAAGAAAGGTAACTTTAGAAGCCCATCTACTCACAATCTCAGCTCTGTGGTAATTCCAGTTAACACCTTGATCTTTAAGTGCTGCCTTACCTACACTTTCATTTCAGGGACTGTATAATTGCATCACTGACTGCAGCTTCCTGATCATAAAAATGATCAGAGGATACCCTCACTGACCCAGGTAAGAGAACACAAACACCATGTAAGTGCCACGTGTCAGATCTCCCACAAAACAAGACAATACAAAAGGCTTTCTTTCCCATGTAATGATTTTGGTTATAAATAGAAAATCTGTGACAGCAATGAAAATAGTTTGTGTGGGAATCATGCACTGAATCTAATGCACTCTTTCAGTGACATGGGAAGAAAGTTTCTCTCCCGGGAAAAGATGGGAGTTTATTCTCATGCCAGGCCTTCAGAGCCATGACAACAGGCTAACTTCAACAGCAGAGTTCTAGCATTGTGGACTCCAGGACTGGTGAACTCTGGCAGGCAGATTAATGCCAAAATTCACTTCAAGCATGCTGTCAGCTGCTGATGGTTGTGAGGTTTGTTTCAAGCTGCAAGCTGACAGCAATCAAACAAGGTACAATTCCTTGAGAAGTGCAGTCCACAGGTAGGGAATTCACTTCAGTTTAACTATAATGAAGGCTTTCCATGCCTAACCTTTTGCAGTTACCTCATTCCCTCAAATTTCACAGCAAGGGTGCTCCCCTCGAGTCCATTTGTAGTATGTTAACTCTGTGCCTCCCTGTGGTGTTACTTACCCAGCTGTGTCAACTCTCAGCTTTTTGAATGCTGTCTGCAGGCTTTCCTCTTCTCCATCCTTAGCTTCTGATTTCATCATTGGGATGGCCAGAAGGTGATGGAATTACCATGTACTGCTTCGAGCAGAAAAAAGGCATAAGAAAATAAAGGCCAAATCCTTGTTGAAAACATTAGTTGCCCAGCAGCACCGTAATACATGAAAATAAACTCAAAATAGCACACTGTGCACGCTAAGCTGAGGTCATTCTACCAGAACATTTTTGAAAGCTGATTCAGAACCAGCTTTATGACACCCAACAATGAAACAAACAGTCTCTTGTAGCTGAATTAGCAATTCAAAGTAAAATTTGGTGTCAACAAGCATCTTGCACATCCATTACAGTCCAGTAAGTCTGCTACTTGTCTTACAGTGTTACCACAATAATTGCAGAAGGAGGGAAAGTCAGAAGGAGCACCACCACTAAAAAGTCAGTCTGTTACAACTGTTATTTCCTCATCTGGGACTCGATGTTACGCATGTATTTTAAAAAAACTCAAACCAACAGATTTTTCTTAGAACAAGATAAAGTTTTAAGCCAAACAACATTTTTTGACTTTATATCTAGGCCCCAGCAAGAGCTAAACAATCCTATCAGACCATGGTATTGCAAATAGCCATTAAAATGTTCCAATATCAGCTGGTGAACAAGTACAAATGCAAATGAATACAACCAGCAAGCAGCAAGCATTGTTTTAAATAATAAAAAAAAAAAGAATTGATAAAACTGGCTGATGGTTGTTTTTTTTTTAATCTACCCTGGCTGTCATTTAATCTACTACACAGGAATCTCTAAATATTTCTAAATTTGATGCTCTCCAGGCTCTCTGGAGGTCAGAACCCCAGGGTCAAGACTGACCAGTCCTTTTCAACATCTTCATTAATGATCTGGCTGATGTGGCAAAGCACCTTCAGCAAGTCTGCTGTTGTCACCAAACTGGGATGAGTGGCTGATACACCAGCGGGACCTCCACAGGAACCTCATGAACTTCAACAAGAGGAAAGGAAAAGCCCTGCCCTGGGGAGGAACAAGCAGAAAAGGCCCTCAGGGTCCTGGTGGACACCAAGATGGTCATGGGCCAGAAACAGGCCCTTGTGGCAAAGGGATTAAAGTACCCTGGGCTGCAGGTCCAAGGAGCTGATCCTTCCCTCTGTTCAGCATTGGTGAGGCCACAGCTGGAGTGTCCAGCACCGGGTTCCACAGTACAGGAGACACACTGACCTGCTGGAGAGGACCCAGTGAAGGGCCACTGAGATGATGAAGGGACTGGTCATCTGAACCTCTGCAGCTCAGTTACTTATGCAGGCAGAGAGGGGCAATCTCTGTTCCCTCACCACCTCAGTCCCGTTGGAGGTGGCAGCTCTCCCTGCTGCTGTTCTGGCTGCTCCCTGTGCTGTGATTTCACCTGGACACCCTGGATTGCAGACAGCTCTGATGACACACACAGAAGGATAATGTATCATAACAATTTCAGGGCACATGTTGTCCAGTGAGTCAGAGAGTGAGTAAACACGAGAGGAACTTACACAGACACTGACAACAGGAATCTGAGCAAGTTACTATTTCATATACTCTTAGCCAAATACTACTGCTCTGGTGAAACAGATGGTCCCTACTTCAGTTTTTACCTTGGCCCCCTTAATCATCTTTAGATGATTCTTTAAAATAAAATAAAATAAAATTTAAAAAATCAGGCTACATATTTTTTTCTTTTTTTCATACCAAACTCCTGTATTATATAACCTTAGCAGGAGGATGAGGGTTAAAATTTTAAAAATCATTGTACATCACTGAAAACATAGTACCAGTTTTAGATGAAATATTTTATCGTGCTGCCCTTCATCACCGACACAGCAAACGCTCAAAACAATGCAGAACAAGTACTTTTAAAACTTATATTTTAAAATTTTATCTTTCGGAATATTTCAGTTTTTAAATTTTGTACCTTCAAAATTTTATCTTTCGGAATTTTATAGTTTTTGAATTTCATCTCTTCAAAGCTTTATCTTTTAAAATTTTAAAGCTTTAAAATTTTATACTTTTAAAAATCTCATCTTTTAAAATTTTAAAGCTTCTAAGTTTTACACTTCTAAAATTCTACACTTTTAAAATTTCACCTTTTAAAATTTTAAAGCTTTCACATTTTACACTTTTAAAATTTCGCTTTTTTTAAATTTTTGCTTTAAAACCCCCATTAAAAGTTTTTTTTCTCATTTTTGAATTTCGCATTTCTAAATCTTCCTTTTTTTTTTTTTTTTTTAAATCTCCCATTCTTAAATTTGACACTTTCGAATTTCGTATTTTTTTAAATCCCGTATTTTTAACACCCCCAACCCCCCCCAGGACTCCCCTCCCCAGCCCATCCCCGACCCCCGCGGCGGGGCCGGGCCGTGACTCAGCGCGGACCCCGCGGGGCTCCCCCGACCCAGCGCGGGGGGAACCGCGCGGGAGGGGCTCGCCGGGGGGACACGACGGCGCTCACCGGCCCCGGGGGAGCGAGAGGGGTCAGGGACAGGGGATGAGGACGCGGACAGGGATGAGGATGGGGATGAGGATGAGGGAGCCCCGCACTCACCGCGCTCAGGGCCGGACCCGGCGCCTCCCGCCGCCCCCTCAGGAATAGGCGGCGCTCGCGCACGCGCGCAGAGGGGGCGGGCGGGGCCAGGGCGCGCCCTCGCGGGGCCGTGACGTCACGTCCTGTTGTGCTGCGCGCCCCCGGGAAGGCGGCGGGTGAGTGACGGCACCGGGACCCCCGGGACACCCCCGGGACACCCCTGGGACACCCCCGGGACAGCGGGATACCGGGACAGCCGCCACAGCGCCCCCGGGGATGGGGGCGCGGAGGGGCCGCCGCGGGTGTTCCCGCGCAGAGGCCCCGGGGCAGGGGGCGGCGGGGCCCGCGGGGCCCGGGCTCGGGCTGGGGCGCGGGGGGGTCACGGAGGGCAGTGCCGGCAGCCCCGGTGGGAAGAGGGTCCGGAGGGATCTCAGCGAGCTGTGCGATGGCCGCAGGGTGGGCGCGGACGGGACAGGGTCGCGCTGCGCTGAGCGGTGCCCGGAGGGAGCAGCGGCCGTGAACACGCCCTGACACACGGGAGGTGCTGCCCGAGCGGGGGGAGCGCTGAGGGGGCTGAGCCCGGAGCAGCTCCGCAGCCTTCCCTCCTTGGGGGTGTTCAAGAGCTACCTGGGCAGCCAGCTCGGGGTGGCCCTGCTGGAGCAGTGAGGCAAGACCTGCGGGATCCCCTCCAGCCTCAGCCAGCCTGTGGTTCTGTACCTTCCCGAGGCTCTGCTGCCCGTGCTCACAGCTCCAAGTTACACGGATTGGTAGGGTCCATAACATCTGTTCACTCATGGGTAAAAAGACTCCCTGTTATTTTTGACACAGACTGTGCCTGCTCTGAGAAACTCGGGGTTCACAGTGAGCAGGCCTGGGCAGGCCTGATCACAAAGGAGGGGTGTTGCCCCCAGAAGAACGAGCACCCGTGGCAGGGTCAGTCAGTTTTGTACAGACCACGTGTGGTCAGACCTCAGCATCAAATCCCAATCTCTGTATTTCAGTTTATTCTATATGGCACGGTTGGTTACCCACTGAGAGCTCATCAATGGACTTGGAAGCTAAAGATGAAGAGGAAGAGAGTCTACAAACAGCATTCAAAAAGCTGAGAGTGGATGCAGCAGGGTAAGTGAGCAACCAAAAGGGCCATGTAATCTGTCAGATTTTTGTTACTTGTTTGTATTTGTTTGCTGTTATTTTGCATTTCAAAAAGAAAAAGTAATTTGGTGAAAGTTTCTTTGCTCTTCAGGAGAAGACAACTGCATCACTTCAGATGAAATATAGTAATTATAACTGTCTAATATGCAAAGGAGTACTTTATTACAGACTAATTCTGACACAATATCCGACTGAAATTACGCAGTGACTTTATGGAAATACAAATGACTTGCCCAAAGCAATGAACCCACTCTTAACTGTCAGAGTAGCTGTAGTCACCTGCTGTGATACAAAGCTTGTTTCTGGTTTCAGGAGATTTTGTGGAGCAAAGTGCAGCCATTCTGGTATTAAAAACTTGTTCCATAATACACTGGGTGTGCTGATTATATGCAGGATAAGATTTTCCTTAAAAGTAGGAGCTAATAAATGTCTAACACTCTGTGAGGCAGTTCACTGGGAAGTCTTTTAGGAATTCACAGACACAGGAGAAAGCTTTGTATTGACATTGTTACCCTGTGAATTCATCTCCACAGCCATCAGTACTGCAAACTCAGGACTTCCCCTGCATGTGGAAATACACTTTGCTTTGCTACTTGTTTCCTCTGCTTCTGGAGGTCTTCTGAGAAGTGTGGAAAAAAATGGCTGTTCTCTAACAAGGAGCTGTGCTTATTAGACATCCCACTTCTGATGTAGTACCAGTGGCAGACTGTGTGGGGTTCTGGGTGATTCCTGATGATACCTTCTTAGGCATAAAAAGATCTTGTTTTGCAGGCCTGTGTTTTGAACTGCTCAAGTCTTGTGAATCATCCCTTAAGATCAGCTTTGGGCAGAGTGCTGGGGCTCTTTGCTGGAATTTCAGCCTCGTTTCCTACAGTTTCCTATCCCATGTTCCAAATCATACCTACAGCCATCATAAATACAGATTCGTGTGCTGAGGCATTTATGTTTGTCATCTGGACCTCCAGGGTCATTCCATGTTTATCTGGGAAATTTAATGATAAATGAACCAGTAATCTGTCTTTATTTGTTGTACCTCACCCCCTTCCCCACTGACTCCCCCTCACCCTGCTGCTCCTGGTCCCTGACTTTGCATTTCAGATGAGTGGGAGTCTATTTTAACAACTATTGTCTGACCAGAACGCCTGGAAACCTGAGTTTACATTCCTTTAACATGTCATTTTGCTACAAATAGGGCATGACATCAGCCTCTGGGCATTTTGGCCGCCTTTCATTTCATCTCACCTATCTTTAGCCACTTGACTGAGGCCAGTGTAGTAAAGGGGGGTCAGATAAATCCCTGTAAATGCCCTGTTTCTACCCACTGACTACAGAGGAAGTCAAGGCTGGGAATTTGACTGTGATAGCTGAGCATCCAAAGGGAACAGGCTGCATCTGGACCTCTGGAGCTGTGTGTTCAGGCACTGCTGTGACGTGGCTTTTCCCTTCCCCAGATGCATTGCAGCTCTGGCCGTGGGCGACGGGACGATCCTCAGAACAACAACAAGAGCAGCTGTGGATGGAGCCAAGCAACAGACTGTCTGTTCCAAGGAAGCGTGGCATGGGTAAAACATGAGACATTTAACAGTTGCAGGCTGCTTTCAGTGCCAGTTGTTGTTAATTAGTTGCTTCAACATATCTCTTCTCTCCTTTCTATTACAAAATTTTTCCATAATCAATACGATGTTTTTAAGGGGATTTCATCAAAGACTCCAAAAGCAATATTGCCTCTTCTCTTAGAGGAGGTTCCTAAAACTTCCTTTTCCACTGATTTCCTCAGTAGTCCTTTGCAACCCCCTCTCACCTCATTCTTGGGTTATTTTATATCTGTATCGAAGTATCTGGATATTCAGGGTGATTCTGCCAGCAGCTCCAACTGGTACAGGTTCTTTACTACAGTTCAGCTTGGGATGACAAAGTATCATTTGCTTAACACAGGAGATTTGGGGGAAGCACCTTAAATAAGGGCTGTTTGTACATGTCTTTCCTTTGGGGGAGCCCAAACTTTTTCAGACTCCTCCGCTGTTCCTGTCAGAGATAGTAAGTGACCGGTCACCTGGTTTTCCTAAGCAGAAAAAAAAAATCTTCTGAAGCATTTTTAGCCACATTCTAAAGCTTGCTGAGCTGTGGTGTCGATTCTGCAGTTACCTACCTGCTCCCCTGTTGTAACCCTGCAGGTGTGTGAGGAAGCCTTCCCGAGGATCGGCAAGGGTCCCGCGCCGCCGGCGCTCCAAGTCTCCGGTCCTGCACCCTCCCAAATTTACATATTGCAACATGAAAGCCAACAGCCAGCTGAAACACAAACCCCAGGCAGACACATCGAAGGGCATCGTCAGCGCAGACGTTTTTGTCCCGGCAGAACACGGTACGAAGGACGGGCAGGATCCTCCCCTCGAGGCCAGCGAGGGCAGAACTGAACCGCGGGAGGCTTTCACCGCCGAAGAGCCTTTGGAGAAGTCGAGAGAGCATTGCCCTGCTCCACCCTCCTCCTTTGAAACCAGCTTGCATTCTAGCCAAACCTCAGATTTCCAGTCCTTATCCATGCTTAGCAGCGGCAAGCAGTGCCCTTGTACGGACAAGAAGTGCCAGTGCAAGCAGTGGAGAACCATGGAGGTGTATTCCTTCTCCGGCCTCCGGAGCGTCCTGTCGGAGTGCGAGAAGGCGGTCCTGGGAGTCCATGCCCACTCTCTCCAGAGCAGGTCCCCTGGTGGGACAGCCTCGTCAAGCTCTCCCAGGTCTTGTTCCGAGCAAGCTCGAGCCTTTGTGGATGACGTGACTATTGAAGATCTTTCGGGATACATGGAATACTACTTATATATTCCCAAGAAGATGTCTCACATGGCGGAGATGATGTATACTTGACTGTAAGCAATAGAGAAGCCTGAAGCAGAGTTTGTTACAATGGTTGGGTTAATTGCCTTGTCAGTGCCATGTTTTCACTGTTGTGTGTTTGATTAAATGTTTCTTTGCCTCACACAGTTTAGTTTTCTAATAAAATGAAAAATTAAATATAGTTTCTGAGCTTAGTTCTAAAAAGAATGCACTAAAGTCTCTGAATACCTTAAGAAAAGCACTCTAGATCAGAGGAGCTCTGTTTGATTTTTGGTTTTTGCTGTGGATATTGAAGCTCTGTATGCTTTTTCACTATGTTTTGGAAAAAGAAAACCAAAACAAAACAAAAAAACTTTAGGGTTTTTTTTTCTGAAATTTTGCAGTGTTTGGAAGGTTCATTCTTAATGTGTCCCAGTACTTAGAGAAAAGTTTCACAGCTGCAGCTCTATGCTCCTCATCCTGCTCTAGGAAGAATGAGAGGGCATTCAGCATTTTGGATAGGATGAATGTCCTTTCCTTGAACACTAGCTGGCTCCTTTTTAGTTGGATCAAATTGGGAATGCTGCTTCCTCACAAATTTTTTGGGAGGTCTGGAACCTGCGGGTGTGTGCTTGGACCCTTCCATAATCTAACTTGCTCACTCTTAAGCAGTTCTATTTTTCTGCAGATAAGTGAAGCTCTTAGAAGTAAAAATATATTTTGTTATTTGTGCTTTACAGATGGAATAATTTAGGGGGGAGTAAAGCAGGCTGACAGATTTTTGGGCTGTGCTGTCTCAGAAGTGGAGATGGTGGAGCCATCAGATTGTTTCTGAGCACGTCTGATACACAAAGCAGTGTGGAAATAGGGTGAACAAGAAGTGTGTATCATCCTGGCTTTGTGCTGTAGAGCTGTGACATTGCTGCTGGTTGAAAATACTGCAATAAAAAACTTTGTTGCCGAGACTTGCATTAATAAATGTTTGTCAAAACCCAGCAAACTAAAGACTGAATAATTTGACTTACACTCATCTCCCCTCAAGACCTTTTTTTTTCTAAAAAAAACCACAACAAACTGCTTTCAGTGTCAGCTGTACATGCTCAACAACCATG